AACTAAGTGAGAAACCAGCAACAAAAAGATACGAGATATCGGAAGAATGCCCAAATAGTTGGAAGTTAAACAACATAATAAACTCAGGAGTCAAACAAGTAATCAAAGGGAAACTGGGAAGTCTCTTGAGCTGCACGGCCATGGAAACACAACTTACCAGCATCTGCGAGACGAAGCTGACGCAGTGTTAGTGGGAAATGTGTGCTGCAGGTGTTTGTCTCAGGAAAGAGAAGAGGCCTGAAATCACTGGCCAGAGGCCCCACTCTGGGAAGGCCACACAACAGCAAATCAAGCCCAAGGAAGTGGTTGGAAGGAAACGAGAGAAAATTTAATGTCGTAGGAAAACGACAACAGGGAAAAATCAGTAAAATGAAACCTGGTTCTTTGAAATGATCAGTGCAGTTGATAAACCTCTGGCTAAACGGATCAAGAGAAAAATCCACAAATACTAGTATCGGGACTGAAAACATAGCAGTTAGAGCCTACAGACATTGGAGTACAAAGGGACATTATTAATAAATTTATGCAAAGACATCGGACAACTCAGTCGAAATACACAAAGGTCTCAAAAGTCATAACTTGCCAAAATTCACACAAGGAACATCAGATTTGAATAGCCTGTGTCTATGAATGTTGTTGAGTTCATAATTAAAGACCTTTCCACAAAGAAGACTCCTGACGTAGATGGTGTTGCTGGGGAGTTCTACCAAACATTTAAGAATGAAATAATACCAATCTTAAACATACTCTGAAAAGAAATAAGGAGGAACCTTTCCCTACTCATTTTTGAAGACACGCTTTGCCCTCAGACCAAAACTAGACAAACTCATTACTACAGGAAACCTATAGGTCAACACCATGCGTGACCATAGATGCAAAGTCCTTGATGAACTTAGCTAACTGAATCCAGCAAGGTATGGAGCCAGTAATCCAGCGTGGACACACAGCGCAGGGTTATGAGGGATATTTTAACACTGGAACAGCAATCACTACAAGGCACTACATTAACAAGGCAAAGGAGGAAGCCCCTGGGGCCGGATGGGGCCTCAGAGCTGCAGAGCTGACAGCTCCTGGGGACTGCAGGCCCAGCCTGCCACTCAAAGCCTGTCCTCAAAACTAGAAAAGACCCATGTCCCAGGCCACATGTTGGGGTCAAAAACCCAAGGTCCCAGGAACAAAGGGCTCCTCCATTCATTTCAAGGCAGCAAAAGCTAGGTCACTTCCGTTAAACATTAGTGGGGAAATCCAGTCAAAGCAACAAGGCAGACATGGGACCCTGACAAGGCATGCTTACGAATGAAGAGAGACAGAGGCCGAGAGAAAAGGGCCTGGAGCATCGGACAGCCTTGGCCCTGGCCTGGCTGGCTCTGTCCGGCTCACTCCGGCCCCATCCTGCCTCCTGTGCCCCGCTGGGCTCTCTCCCCAACATGGGGCTTCAAGGCACCAGGACTTCAATACTCACCCTAGACGCTCTGCTGCCCTCAAGGCCGACCAGGACGAGGGAGGGCCTGGAGAGAAAAGGCCCGGGGCCAGGACCAGGTCAGACTCGGCTCCCACTGAGAAGGCCGTGCACACTGCCCTGGAGCAGGAAGCGATGACCAGAAGGAAGCGCAGCCAGGTGGTTCGGGGCAAAGTCTGCTGAGGAAGCCCGGGAAAGGAGGCGTTCTCACCTGCACACTCAGACCCGCCTGTCAGGGTTGGCCAGGGACACAGCGCATGGAGGGAGGCGGCCTTCGCCCATTAGCAGGTCCACAAGACAGGGACCCCAGGTGCAGCCAGGCCCTGGACACAGCTTGGCATGGCTGGACCCTGCTGCTGGGTTCCGTGGAGTCAGGCAGGGCCCAGGATGAGGCCCCCGTCCGTGTCAGTCAATATATGGCTGGGGCAGTGGTGCGCCTGCCCTGGGGCCCCGGGTCCTCCCAGAGCCAGCCGGGGCCTTGCGTTCTGCCTGGGGGATCCTTCACGGGGCTTGGGGGCTGGTATCAGACAGGAGCATACAGACTGAGGCAGGAGCCTTCTAACACATCAGGAGTCCCACCATGGGGTGGGAGGGGCACGGCCACCCTGCTGGGTGGGCTCAGACCCTAGAAGAGACTGGAGAGCAGGTCCCCTTCCCTCTGCTCTCGTCAGCAGACCTGAGCCGAGCTTGACCCCATCCCAGCAGACACTGCAGACCAAGGTCTCCAGGGCAAAACACAGGGCCAGAGTCTGGGCCCAGGACACCCTGTGAGTGTGACCAGAGCCCGGACATGGGACACCTTGTGAGTGTGGCCTGAGCCCGGACCCGGGACACCCTGTGAGTGTGGCCAGAGCCCGGACACGTTTTCAGCAGGGACCCTGGTGTCCAGAGCACACAAGCTGCTCTGCGAAGGCCCAGCCAGGAGGAGATGCACCGAGTAGAACTGGGCCCGCCTGGCTACTGCAGTGGGCCGGGGAAGGGCCCCTGTAGCTCAGCCGGTAGGTGCCTCTTGTGAAGGGACCACGCCCTGCAGCGGGCGCCCTGCCCCTCAGCACCCAGGCTGTTTCTTGGGCTCAGCAGACATGCGGGGCCTGCTGCCCTCGCTGCGGCCTGGAAGCCGGGCAGCAGACGCCTTCCCGTCTGCGGTGGCCACACAGCCTGGCCTTCCCTTCTCTGCTCTCCGCCTGATCCCAGAGAGGGACCTGAGCAAACTCTCCCTGTCACCCAGGGAGGGACCAGGATTCTGTCCAGATGCGGCCTGGCGAGGGGGCTGGCCAGCCCAGCGAAGGTGGGTCGCTCTTGGGAGAAGCTGGCAGCACCCCGCCTTCTGGAGTTCAGGGCAGGAGGCTGATGATGATGGGGCAGTTGGCAGCATTTTACTTTTCGGGCCTCCTTTGGAAGGTGGCTCTCTGCAGGGCCCAGGCCCGAACCCTAATGGGTGAGACAAATCGTAGGCTTTCTTTGTCTCTGCCCAGAAGACAAAGCAAGTGGGGAGGGAAGACAGACGGGCTGAGACGTGGAGATGCTGCTCAAGTGCGCCCCCCGGAGGCCTCCCTGCAACCCAGGGGGACCGGCAGCCTCCAGCTGCCCAGAGGGAGGGACGTCCTGCCTGCGGCCGGCTGGCGGTGACGCTGCCGAGATGCATGTGATTGCTGACCCCTAGGGCCGGGCTAACTGGCCACAGCCGAGCGGCTCTGAGGCTGGGTGGGGACGTGTGGGTTGAGACGGCCTTTCCTCCAGCCCGTCTTGGGAAAGAGCTCTTCAAGGCAGCGGCAGCAGCAAAGTGCCCGTGAGTGGAGGCTGAGAGAGAAATTCCACTCCAAGGAAGCGCGTGCGCGGCCACCTGCTCGGAACGCAGGAGCAGCAGGTCTTAGTGAGTTCCGGCTGCCGGGACAGACACTGCAGGCTGGGGGCGAAACCGCAGACATTGACTTCTCATAATTTGGGAAGCTGGAAGTCTAAGGTCAAGGCGCTGGCAAGCTTGGTTCCTAGCAAAGGCCCTGGTCCTGGTTGCAGACAGCCACTTTATCGCTGTCATGCATGAAGCTCTGGTGCCTCTTCGAAGGACGCCTGAGGGGTCCCTGCCCGGGAGATTGAGCCGTGCAGGGTGTCAACACCCAGCATTTGAGCGCCACTTGGGGCTCTGGATACGCTGCGCCAGACTCCTCCTCCCCCGAGCGTCTTGCTCCCCAGATTTGTTTCAGTGTCGGCCTCTGCAGGATACCACCCTGGTCCAGGAGTCGATAGTATGGGGTTTGGAGCTGGTCACTCGCTGCCTACTGGCACAGGGGCCTGTCTGATGGCAGGGAGATGGTGGCCCTTGGCACAGGCGGTGGTCCTGTCCTGGCCAATTTTTAAGTCCAATTTGGAGTTGAGTTGGAAGGTGCTGGGGGAAGGGACAGGGGTGTTGAGGTATGCGGACAGGAGGAGCTCAAGGGCACAGAGCGGGCAGCTGGAGGTCAGGTGTGAGGAGGCCTCTGGTCACTAGCAGAGCAGCTCAGCTGCAGGGTGGAGACAGCCAGGCCTGGGGCCCATTGAAGAGATGGCCCAGCCCCAAGAGGCAGGACCCTCCCCACAGCAAGTGTGCTTGGCAGACGCCCCCCACCTACCTGCCCCACTAGGCTCTCTACTCCATGGCTGTGCACAGGGAGAGGGAGGGGATGTCCAAGAACCACTGGACATTCGAGTTCTGAGTTGACATGGGCCCCTGGGCATCCTTGTGGGCCCCACCAGAGCTGGACACACACAGGCTGTGGACAGTAGAGTCTTGGCAGGACTGGCTCACAGAGCGATGGCGTCCCCTCCTGGTCTCCTGGCACATGACTGGGGCTGGTACGTGCTCCCTGGGGTCAGAGACACCAGGCAGGAAGGCCAAGGGCGAGTGGAGATGAGGGCCCCCCTCGAGGCTCAGAAGGCGTGGGGTGATGGCCCCATCCCATCTCCACCTGACTCAGGACCAGGGGCTCCTGGAGGTCGACTCCCGCTCACTGAGGGCAGCCCGGGGGGGCAGACCACTCAGGCCTCAGGCACAGGAGTGCGGGCGTGACAGACTAGGTCAGAGGTCAGAACAGCTCTCACCCGCGTGGAGCAGGACAGACACCGGCAGCCTTCCCCAGGACCTCTGCCGTCACACGGGGCAAGGACGCTCAATCGTGACGACACGATGCTGGGTCGGAGGAGCAAGAGGCGGCAGGAGCCGCACCGGGCCGAGACTGGGGCTGCGGCACAGAAGATGGTTAGGGGTTCAGGGGACCAGGGGTCGGAGGCCTGCGAGAAGTCCCTTGCCACATCAAGAGCAAAGGCCTGTGCCCAGTACCTTCCACAAGGAAGCTCGAGACCCCTGGGTGCCTGTGGCAGCATCCCCCACGCCCAAGCACTGCAGGCCGGTAGACCAGGTGGCAGGAAGCAGACGGGTGTGCAGACAGGAGGAGACTCGGGCCAGCTGGTCACCTCCAGTGTCTGAGCAGCGGGCAGGAGCCCCCCGCCCATCCCCGCGGCGAGGGCTGACGCGGCCCCAGCTACCTGAATCCAGACTCAGATGGAAGCTGCTCAGTGCTAATGTTTATTTATAAAGTTGTGTCCTAAAAATGTTTCAAATAAATAATTTTAAACAAGATCCATCACAATATACTTCCGTCTGCTGTGAGGCCTCTCCGGGGCCAAGGAGCGACAGCGTGGAGAATTTCCGCGTCTCGGCGCGCAGGCCCACCCCGAGCTTTTCTTGCCCTTCCAGCAGCACCTGCTGGACCCCGGGCTGCGGCTCTCCAGGACGGGGCTCTTCACCGGGACCCCAAGCTCACGCTGCCACCCTGCTCAGGCCCGGCCGCTGCGGCACTGGCATGTGGGTCACTGGTCAGCAGAGCTGCCACGCGTGGCTGTCGTTAGGTCTTCATGACTGCCATGAAGGAGGCCTGCGGGAGAGATGGCGGGGCCTGGGCAGTGCCGCCCTGGGCTGCAGCACCCCTCCTGCCCTCCAGAGGCTGTCACCGTAGCCCCCACTTCTTGACCCCTGGGAAGCTCTGCTGGGGGCTCTCGTGGGGAGAGACAAGGGCACCTCGTGCCCCGGGGCACAGTCTAGCCTGCAAGGCGGCTGCTGGGAGGGGCTCCACACAGCCCCACACGTACCTCCTGGAGAAGCTGCCCCAGCATTTCCTGGCTGTGAATGGAGCGCCTGTGGGGAAGGACACCATGGTCATCTGGCAGGGTGGCCACACTCCAGGCCCACCCACTCTGTAGACGGTGCCACTCTCCTCCCACAGGCCCCTGGGCTCTGCCAGGACAGGGAAGAGCTGGGGTGTGGGGGGCGGAGGGGAGAGAAGCCCGGGGAGATGCTGAGGATCACAGCCCCCCGGACACACGCGCACACACTCACACCCGGAGCCCACCTGTCTATCCTGGTCTCCACGGTCACCGTGAAAGCCCCCTCTGTGTCTGGCAGGTAGGTGGAGGGCACAATCCTGTAGGTCCCCGCAGACAGGTGGCAGAGCCGGCTCACCTCCTGGGTGTAGCAGTGCGGCACACAGCTTAGCAGAGGCTCCTGGAGCAGCAGGGAGGGAGCACCCAGGCCCCCGCCATCTGCAGGAACCTGGGGGAGGCACAGGCTCAGACTGGGGGCCAGCGGTGAACGCTCCCCTCCTCACAGCCCTGGGCCTTGCTCCCTCCCTGGGCTGGGGACGCCGGGGCAACCTGTGTAGTCTCGCCATACGCGCCAGGCTTCAGAGCTGGGCTCACCATTCACTGAGGCCGCAACACCAGTGCCCACGCCTGGGGACACCAGAGTCACCACTGCCCAGCCCTGTCCTGGGAGTCACCTCACTGGCCCCGACACCCATGATTTTTTGAAGGTTCGGGGTGCCCCGCGGGCGGCCTGGGGTTGAGCGAGGCTCCAGAGTCTGCCTTCAGCTGTTGGGGGGCACAGCAGCTCTGCCTCCCAACGGTCCAGAACCTCCCCAGTCAGAGAAAACCCTCTCCTCCCCTGCCTGTACCCCAGGCTAGGCGTGACCACCCCCACGCGGGCCCGGTGACAGCGCAGCATGGGGTCACCCTCCGGCCATGCCTCCTCAGGGCACCTGCCGGTGCACCAGCCCATCCTGAAGCGGGGCCCCCAGAAGGAGCAGGGGAGCCACACAGTCACCCTGGAATCTGAATCTGTGACCTCTGACACTTCACCTCTTCCCCTTTCTCCTACTACAGGTCTTCTAAGCGCATCCTGCCTGCAATTCAGGAGGGGAAGAGCAGCCCAAGGCCGGGGAAGGCGCTCTGGGTGGCACCTGTGACTCCCTGGCTCTTGCACAGCCGCCATACAACCTCCTGCCAGCTGGGGGTAAGAGCTCCCTGCCCCACCCGGCCAGGGTGGGGGGACCCTGGGTCCCCTGGCTCACGCCCACGTGGGGCTGGAGATAAGTCACACTTCCCAGTGGAGTTCCTGGAAGCCACCCCTCCCTTCTGTTGTCCAGGATTCAGGCCGCCCCGCACTGCTGACCCACTGCGGCCTCACTCTGAGCCCCTCGCCCCCAGCTCTGTCTTTTCTTTCTAATCTAAAGACCCTCACTAGGTGCAGCATCCGTCCAGACTGTCTCACTGAATGCGGGCCTCTCCCCCCCCCCCCCCGCTCCTGCTGGTTCCCGCGAGCCCAGGCCGTCTTTTATCCCAGACCCCCAGGCTTGGGCCCTGGGGAGGGTGGGGTTCACGTGACTTCAGAGAGGCTCCTGCTGGAGAACTGCTCCCCGTGCACCCAGTGGGGACTCCTGGCTGGAGGCACAGCTCTGGGGACAGCTCAGGACACAGCTGCTGTGAGCCAGGGCAAGTGGACAAGGGGCCGCCTGAGCTGACCTGTGACCTCCAGTGAACTACAGACTCCGTAAAACCTAGAAATGAGTCTTGCCTGTGCCCAGCTGGCCCAGACACTGAGCCCGGAGGACACGGACAGACCTGGAGGGGCCTACCCCCCCACCCCTCTCCCCATCCTGCCGCACCGCCCCCGAGCCCCAGGAGCGTGGGGAGCCTGCCTGGAAGACGTGGAAGCCGATGGGGTGGCACTTGCTGTCCTGGCAGTGCTGGCGCAGAGTGATGCGGACACAGCGGGGGCCTGTGCCCTCAGGCACCGACAGCGGGAAGCAGGGGTTGGTGGGGTAGGAGGCAAAGTTGCGGCTGCCCCCCGCTGTCCGGCCGACTCTCCAGGAGCCCCGCAGCCGCACAGTCTCCCACTCACCCGCGGGTGAGGCCTCCCGGTGGGCAGGGCTCTGGGCCGCCGGCTTGATGGCACTGCCCGGAGAGACAAGCACAGGAGGCGGCTGGCACACCATCCGGCCCCGTCACAGGCGTGAGCACATAAACCCTGCGGAAACCGCCCAGGCGCTCCCCCTCCTGAGCCCGAGACCCTGCCCACCCCTCACCTGAGGGAGACTCTCCCGCTGGAGAAGACCCGGAGCAGAAACCGCCCCGGCACATCCTTCAGGAAGGTGCTGGGGACGGCCAGGTAGTAGCCCGGGGCGAGCTCACAGCGGAGGTGGACCTCCCGGTCGTACGCATGGCACACGGTGCCAGCCACGGGGGGCGCCGACAGGGCCCTGGGCAGGCTGACCCGCCGCTTCTCCACCTGCAGAGGGAGGCCGGCATGCAGAAGCCACAGAGACCGGAGCCTAGACCCCACCCCGCTCCCAGCAGAGGGGTCCTTGTCAAAGCACCCATGCCTGCGGGTCTCCCTCAGCCTCTCAGGAGTTGGCTGAAAATGCCCGTGGACTCAGGCTCTGTCCTAGGGTCAGTGGCTCTATTCCAGACGTGAGCCTGCAAGTCCTCCTGCTCTGGGAGCAAACAGGCAAATCTAGACAGGGTTGTGCCCCAAATGGCATGTGGCTAATGCAAGCTGGGGACTGTGGGACGAAAGGCTTGCTAGGGACTTCCTTTGAAGGGGACACGCTGTAGGCCACGCGCCCACAGGGACAGGCTGTCAGCCCCCGGCAGGAAGTACAAAATTAAAAGCCAAGCGCCTGGGTGAGCGGACAGGCTGTGTCGTCCTGCGCCAGCCACCCTCCTGTCCCCTGGGGAGAGCAGGACAGGTGTCTCCACGGTGATCCTCAGACAGCTCCACGAGGCCAGAACATTACCACCAGGTTTTGTAGGGAGGGGACTGAGGGAGGCTGGGAGGTGAAGTGACCGCCTGGGCGGGTCCTCAGCAGCCCTCCTGACACCTCTGCTCACTGAAGAGCCCCTCCCACCCCAAAGCCTACAGCTGGGTGCCCCCTGCCAGCTGTGCCAATGGCTGCTTCTGCTCCCCTTCCTTTGGCCAGACCCACAGTGGGCAAGGCGGGGAGCAAGTCCCATGGACTCAGGTTGGAGCTGGGTCTGTAGGAGGACAGCTCGGAGGAGGATGTGGGGCTCCTGGCACCGTCCCTGTCCCCACCCCACACTGGGCGGGGGCCAGGCCTGGGGCGGTTACCTTCCAGACGTGCAGGCCCACGGCCTGGTAGTCCTTGCTGGGGAAGCTCGTGGGGTCCCCCACCGGTGCCCGGGCCCGGGCCACCCCATCCGCCCCGCGTCTCTGCAGGAGGGCGACGTACACCTCGCTCGGCTCTGAGACCCGCAGCCAGAACTTGGGGTTGCTGGGGAAGCCACTGTTGTTCCGGCAGCCTCCTGCCGACTGGCCCTTGACCCAGGCCCCAGGCAGCGCCTGAGTGTGGCACAGCGCCTTTCCTGGGCAGGAGCACACGTGTCAGCTGCGGGGACAGCCGTCTCGCCCTCACCCCACTACAGCACCAGGAAGCCAGCACCACCAAGAGCCCCGCACCCGGCTACCTCTCCACCCGGACGGGAGGGAAAAGAACCATCTCTCCGCCCTGAAAGGAAGCCAGTGGGGCCAGAGCCGTGCCCCCGGCACCCCCCACAGGGGGACAGGGCGTGGGCCCTGCCCTCCGACTGTAGCAGGCAGAGCCCATCGGGGCCGCTGCGCCCCCACGAGGGCCCTCCCTCACCTGAGTAGAGGCTCTGCAGGTGGCCGGCCTCTGTGACTGGGTAGCCGATGGTGACCTCGTCAAACTCCCGCAGGAACTCCTCCTCCTCCACCCAGAACTCCCCTTCCTGGAGCTGGGACAGCAACTCGGACCTGTCAGCTGCGTCCACCTGGCTCCACCCTTCGCCCCCTGGAAGGAACCTCTCTTCAGCGGGGCTTCTCGCCCCAGAGCGGCCGGCAGCTGGCGCCGAGGAGCGGGGCAGTGGGGACCACAGGGGCCCTGC